ATTGAAATACCATAATTATTCACCTGAACAGGAAGATCTTGAAAATGTTTATTAAAATGTTTCACTCAAACAACATTATAGAACAGTACTTCAGTTAAAAATTAACAAATCGCGTACACGCTTTAACAGAGGAAATAATTGATTTTACCTTATCCTGTCTCAGGTAAAGTTAAGGCAGGCTCAATGAAGTTAAAAAGAAGAAATGTAATGAATTTGTTTAAACATTTTGCTAATTCGTTATTAAAAAAAGAGAGAAAAAAACAGATACTGTTTTCCAAGTCATCATAAAACTTACAATTGTGTGTTTGTCCAATGTAAATAGGCCAACTTAAAGTATGCAGTTAATTTAAAAAGTTTAAGTTGACCAATTTACATGGGGCAGACACAATTATTTTTTCTCTTATTACCTATAACTAACAATGCAAATAATTTTCAAATAAAGAATGGATCATTTTTAATATTATTTTCGCATTTCCACTTTAAAATGTTGTCTTGAGGTGTGACTATTTAACTAATGAGATTTACTCGCATGACCGGACATTACATTGTCTTGTCCTACTCCGGTAAGGTAGTCTGCCTCGACTTACTTAACCTGAGACGGGGCTTAGACCTGTAAAATTATCTTTGTAACTCATTAAAAAACGTTTGTATGAAAGCTTCAAGTCTTCAACAAAGGTACGCCTGGATTCTTGTCCAAAGTGACCAACTGCAAAGACAGAGAATATATATTTAGTAGGCTACTTAATATTGCTAAGTACAACCTACGTGATCTACTGAAATAATCCAAAAAAACTTCAACTCAAATTAAAACTTATTGTAACCAAAATAATGGACTTCTTCATTAGACCTTAAGCTAATGGGGACTTTTTCAATTTTCTAGAGACTAGATTTTACGTCTTTCAAGGATTGGTATCGGTAAGTCAAAATAGAAAATAATTTCTAAAGCTAAATAAAAAAAAACTTTTAAAGGTAGGCTTCAGAATAGTGTCTTATGTTTGTAATAGGTATTACGCAAACTTTTGTATAAATTATAGTAGGCATAGGCCTTGGTAGGTCTGGAGGAAAAGAAACCTAGATATTTTACCAAATAGGCTAATGTCTGCAAATTAAAAATAAAAAAATACAGCGGACTATTGTATATTGAAACAAATGGGACCAGGACAGACCAGGACCAGGAAATATTACCAAAACAGATACTTAATGGATGCAGGCTTCTGGAGGTTTTTCAGTAAAATAACAAAAAATTCCTCCAATCCTGGCCTAGGATATATAAAATCTCGATTAGTCTGAATGTGGTCAAACACCAAAATTGCACACGTCACATTTCAGGAAATTGCACACTCATCTCAGAAGAGAATCACGTTTACATTATTCTAGATAACTTAACTTATTAAATTTTGCTAGATAAATTAATTGTTCTTTATTTATTGCATTCCCCTAATAAGTCTTAATATTTCTGGCGACTCTATACTCACACCACTAAATTATCTCTTGCTTTTATAGCTACAACAGGTTGGTTACTTATCAGTCCAGGTAAGCCTGCAATGGTATTAGCGAATTTCCCTATAGGGAAATAGCTATTACGGTCTAGGTGGCACGGTAAGGCCTAGTCCTGGGACCAATTTACTTTTTCATTTTGATGTTCCCAGAGGCCAAAAATGCTAGGGCCTATTCATTGAAATTTATATACTGGTATCTATAGTTATGTAGTACCGGTATGTGTCCGTAAATGCGATAATTCGAGTAATTTTTGTCCGATTTTGATGAAATTTGTTTCAAAGATGTAAGGCAGGATAAACTTGAATGAGTTTGCGAACCAGCATGATCAAACCATGAGAACGGGATCAAGATAAAAAAAGTTTAATGGGGTAAAATTTTCATTTTTGACCCTCAAAACACAAAATTTCCCAATTTTTTCTCTAGACCTTTTTAAAGAGCTTAAAAATGAAAACGGCTTAGTTGGCAGGTTTACTGCGGCAGGGGTAGCCTATTTATTTTTTTAAATGGATTTGTTATGAAAACAAAAAGGGAGCAAAACAATCCAAAAGTACAGTAGAACTCCAATCATCCGAATTAAAACTTAGTTTGGTCGATAACTCATTCGGATTGGCTAATACAAATTTGGATAGTTGGATTTTTACCGAAATTTGGGGTATTTTGCAGAAAAAAGGCCATTTAACAATTTTACAATCCCAGAACACAAGACTAGGAATTTCCATTTGTCTGAATTGATTTTCAGTTAAATATATTTTAATATAACATTTTAGGTTTAACAAGTACCTAGGTTTGCTACTACAAGGAAACTAAAAAAGTGTGTTTTTAAGTAAAATATTGATAGCTTAGTACAAAATAAATAAATTTGCCAAATTTGATCAAAATATGTTCATAAACAAGCAAACTACAACAGTTTACTCATTCTCCATAAGAATAACATGGGAATTTTAAATTTAAATTTTTTTGGAATTTTCTCCGTAACCATTAGGCGCATAATAACGCTTCAATATACTAAATTATTTGTTTTTTGAAGCTCTACAAAATGGTTTGGAAATAAATTGCTAAATTTTATGTTTTTTGGGTCAAAAATGGGAAATACCTATTTTTACCCCATAAAACCCCCCGTAAACACCCGTTCCCATGGTCCGATCATGCTGGATCGCGAACTTGTTCGAATTAACGTAGGTTTACACGTTTGTACCAAATTTCATCAAAATCGGATCATTTTTGCTTGAGTTATCGTGCTGACGGACACACATATATATATATATATATATATGAATTCGAACGGATGGTGTTTTTGGCCTCTAGGGACCTCAAAACGAAAAAAAAAAATCGGTCCCGCATCCAGGTCTTACCATGAGTACTACGGTAATAGCTTATTCCCTATATGGGAAATTCGCTAAAACTCAAAAAAAAAATTAATTTCAAACTTACATAGCAATTTAAAGGAGGCTTGTATTTACCTTTTTTAGAAGTGTAGTAGGATGAAGCATCAAATTTCACTAAGTGCATGGAAATATTGTTTACAGTTCCTCAAAAAATGCAACTCTTGCTTTGGTAGAACCAGATTTAACTTTTTTCAAAGTAGAATACTTAGTTTCACCCATTCTGACTTGCTCGTTATGAAGAGCGTCTAATTCACTTTGCTTTTCCCCAACTTTTAAGACTTCTATTTCCGTGCGCAGGTCCCTCAATTGGTTTTGTAGATGTTTACTTTTTTCTAAATACTCTACTCGTTCTTTTTCAATTTCAAGCGATAGCTGTTTCATATCATTATCTGGTAAACCGATAAGATCAAAAGATGAAATATCAGTGGTAGAGAGTGATGGTTTAGGATTCAGTTGTAGTGCCTGCAAGTCAAGAATAGTAGTAGGATTGTAGAGACTACCAATTCCGTCATTGTTACACATGTTGTCATCTGGAGGGGACAGAACGGGCTCTGGGTAGAGATTTGACAGACTTGATGAAATATACGCATTTCTAGAGAGAAACTCGAGAAGTTTTTCTTTAGCTTGTTTCTCAGCAAGTCTTGCACGAAGAAGCTCATCCTTTAAGCGGTTTGCCTCAGCTGCACGCCTCTCGGACTCATCAACCAACCGAGCAGTTAACTGTTCAGCTTCTCTTGTTTTACGTTCTAAATATACTTTTTCTTCTTCAGTCTTAAGAGCTGTTAAGCGTATTCGGGTGATTTCTTGTTCAGCTTCTGCTGCTTTTTGACTCAAGAGCATAGCTTCTTCTTCAGCCACTCTCGATTTCTCAGCTAGTAATTCAGCAGTTTCTTCAGACCTCCGCAGAGCTTCATTTGCTAAACGAATTTCTTCTTGGTATTGCAACAGCCTTTGTTCCATAGCTGCTTTTTCTCTTTCAGCTGTTTCTCTTAGTTGTTTTTCACGTGCCAATTTGTTTCGTTCTATTTGCCTACGGGTTTTTTCTTCTTTTGCTTGTGTTTTCATTTGCTGTACCTCCATTGAATCAGGTTTTCTTCTTCTCATAAATAGATCATGATTGCCTATACATAAGTCCAAAATTAGTTTGTTCATCCTTACTTTGCGTGAAAAGAAAACACAATTAGGTGCTGATTTATCAACAGGTTTTATTGTGAATTTCTTCTCATCAAAACTAACATGGCGAATTTCAGACCAAGGAAAACTGGTTTTAGGAGTCAGTTTGTTTTCTTTTTCATACATATTCAAGCCTAATGCAGTTACCCCTAGCCAGAGATCAGTATCTTTCTTATTACTAATTGGAAAATAATTTACACCATACATATCCAGGTCTTGGGCTATTTTTAAGTATTCCATTTCTGCTTCATCTCTTGACATACCCCGATGATCTGCGTACCAAATTTTAATTCTATCCTCCCACATTTCAGGTGTCATCTGGTATTGGTCAATTACTCGTTGAGGAAGAAGATCTTCACTTGCTAACATTCCAGGCTTGTAAGTTGTATCATCATAATCACCATATTTTGCTTGTACTGCATATGAGGCAAGAAGGACTGAAGCTTCAGGGGGGCAATAAATGTCCATAGATAAAATAGCTTGTTTAACTTGAAGAAAAAACAGGTGCTGTGTTACTTCTTGTACAAGCTCCTCACCAACATCTTCGGGGTAAAATTTAGCTAGGAACATAAATGCCGTAGTTCCCGGTTGCTGGAAAATGGCCTGATCTTGAACCTTTTTATCTAACTTCAGCCAAGATATAAAGCCTTTAGAATCTTCATACTGAAGCCCAAAATACCATGTTTCCCGCAGGCCAATAGTTCGACAAACTAAATCGAACAAATCTCTTCCTGTAGCTCGCCATTCTAAGTTGAACTCCAACTCAGCATCTAATGTACACACTTTAACTGGAAAGGATTTTCCTGACTTCTTCCTTAAAAATTGTGGCATTTTCGTATAACATGATTATTTAACTATTTAAGATAAAGAGTTGGTAGGCTACCTACTGTACAACTATTATCAAATCCATCACAGTATGTAAACTTGAATTGGCCTACCTACATTTTTGGGTAATTCCGTGAGTTCTTCACTAGTAAATGTTTGCTTTCTTCTTTTCACACCTGCTTTAGCACCACTCATAACTAAAAGTATTTTTTTTTTTATAATTTAGTCTTTTAACTTAGATAACCCTTTTCAAAGGGAAAAATGTAGTCCTGTTGGCTGATAATAAAATGTTAAAGTTAACCAAAGAAAAGGAAAATTTACTTTTGTCCTGTTATCTCACTTCAGCACTTCACTTCTTCACTCTTCCTTCACTCACTACCAAACCAACTACCACTACTCCACTACCATTGAATTGGATTGGGATTGGGATGAATTGATGAATTTCACTACACTATTAACTTGAGGAGTATGTTTAATCTATGCTATTAATAAACGGTATCAGCATTCTGACACATACTTTCTCCCATAAGTTTGTCAACAACCTTTATCATGCGTAAGCGGTGAGATTAAATAAACGGAAATGGAATTTGTACAATTTTCTTCAGAATTTAAAGTACTATGACATACTAAATTTTTATCAAAATCGTTCGAGCCAATTTTGGGAAAATCTGATTTACCGTTATTATATGGGGTTTTTATGGGAAAATAACATAATTTACAATAACTTTTGAACCGTAATTTTTACAGAGATAAGATTTGTACCATTTTGTTCAGAATATAAAGGACTATAACATACTAAATTTTTATCAAAATCGTTCGAACCATTTTAGGGAAAATCCTATTTTTCCGTTATTTTATGGGGTTTTATGGGAAAATCTCCATTAAAAATGAAAACTTCTAAAAAATAAAAATAAACTTTCAAAATTGTAAGGACTATAACATACTATGTTAAATCAAAACCGGATTTTTGTCTAAAATTCCATTTTTTGTTATTTTATCGGGTTTTTATGGGAAAATAACATAATTTACTATAACTTTTGAACCGTAATTTTTACAGAAATGGGATTTGTACCATTTTGTTCAGAATATAAAGGACTATAACATACTAAATTTTTATCAAAATCGTTCGAGCCATTTTTGAGAAAATCCAATTTTTCCAGTTTTTTATGGGTTTTTATGGGGAAATCCCCATTAAAAATCAAAATTTCAAAAAAATGAAAAAAACGCCTGGAGATACCATGGATTAGAACCTACATACCAAATTTCATCGAAATCGGACCACAGGTGTAGTCTCTAGCTCTGTACACATCCAGACACACAGACACACAGACACACAGACACACACACACACACACACACACACACACAGACATCACTTCGAAAACCACTTTTTTGGGTCCAGGGGGACCCAAAACGAATATATCCACTCAAAACTCAAACTCGAAAATTTTGACGAAAACAATACTTTCTCCATATACTATAGTATAGCCGGAGAAAGTAAAAATTGCAGCAGCGGGCGGCCGGGCTACAAAATTTTTATTTCAGCTGTGGTTTTTCGAATCTACGACGGCGCTGAAGTACGACGGCGCTGAAGGGCCACCAACTATAAAAAAATATTTTTCTTAATCTCTGAGAAAAAACTTAGAATTCTGAGTTTAAAGTCAGAATATAACAAGTGGGCGTTCCACTCTGAGATTAAAGTCAGAATTCAACTAGTGGGCGTTCCCCTCTGAGATTAAAGTCAGAATTTAACAAGTGGGCGTTCCTCTCTGTGAAATGAGTCAGAATTCTGAGATTAAAGTCAGAATTGAATTGTGGGCGTTCCTCTCTAGGAAAAAAGTCAGAATATAACTAGTGGGCATTCAACTCTTAAGACAGAATTGAACTGTGGGCGTTCCTCTCTTATTGCAACGATATTATCAGCATATCGATGCTATCATCCCTACTATCTTAGACAAAAGAAATAATATAAATATCATTTCTGTTGTCTATTCTACTGTGTTCTTCTACTTGCAACGTTGCCAATTCTACCAGGCCGCGGCCTGGAGTTAAAGGTGGCCGTGAGAAGAGTATAGTAGAGTATAGTAGCACGGCCGCCTTATGGTGGCCGTGGTAGTAGAGACTAGATAAGTCAAATTCTTACGTTAATCTCAGAGATGAACGCCCACAATTCAATTCTGACTTTAATCTCAGAATTCTAACTCCTTTCACATAGAGGAACGCCCACTTGTTAAATTCTGACTTTAATCTCAGAGGGGAACACCCACTAGTTGAATTCTGACTTTAATCTCAGAGTGGAACGCCCACTTGTTATATTCTGACTTTAAACTCAGAATTCTAAGTTTTTTCTCAGAGATTAAGAAAAATATTTTTTTATAGTTGGTGGCCCTTCAGCGCCGTCGTATGAACGAAATGATATCCACAAAATAAAAATAAAGAGCTCGTGGAAAGTGGATAAACCAGTACTGCCAGTATTTACTGTTTTAACTGGTGAAAAGGAACAAACAAATAAGGGAATATGGCTAATTAATGTTTTAACTCAAAAGTGTTTAATGTATTTGACCAATGCCATAGCAAATGCCACAAGTGTAAATGCCGGATAAAAAAGTAATGATAGTTAGTACTTGATGCCTTTTACCATGCAACAATCAACATTATTCTTTTCTTGGTAAGAAACAAAACCGTGGCTAGTTCACAAATTCCCACAACCATCAGCTCACCTCACACTCACACTCACACTCTAACGCTGCTATCAAATTAATCAGCCTTGACACCTTTAATATACTATTATAGATAATATCTACTTACGTATCACGTATGCCAGTAGGTGTCAATTATTAAAACTTGATATGCTGTACATGTTTCAAGCCTAAATACGGCTCATCTTCAGCAGCATTTTTCTATGTACAATTTTCACATCGAGAGATGATTGTCGACTATATACAGACCACATATACACACAAACACAGAACGTTTTAGCATGCTATTTTTATTATTTACATGTGTTTTTGTAGCGTACGCTCGTTTAAACAATACCCGACCGGACGACATTTGTAGGCCTACTGAGGAACACGAACACGGGAGGGGGGGAGTGACGTCACGGTATCAGCTGACTGGTGGTTGTCATTTCCAGTTTTGTTATCTACATCGTAATACAGCTGATAGGTGATTTTGTCCGAATATTCCTCTCTCGTATTTAACATGGTTTCATTGCCGTGTTCTTTCACATGTTGGTAAATAAATAATTCCTCCCATACTTTGGCTTTGTTTTTCTGGCTACAACTTTTCAAAATACTTAATGATTTTTCAAACTCGATTTTATGACCTATGTTATCCTTAAGATGTTGTGCAACAATCGACGTAGGTTTATTCTGTTTAGAGGCATTATGTTCCTTAAACCTTTGAGAAAACGACCTATTTGTGTACCCGACATATTTTTTGTCACATTTGTCACCACCGTTGCATTGTATGAGATATACCCCTTTATCTTGCTTTTTATCAATGGATCGTTTCTGTCCTTGGAGATGGTTTCTGTTGATTTTGTATCCAGGGTGGAATCCATAATTTTTGAAAATGTTGCCAATTGTTTCAGAGTGTTTGTTTACATAGCAGAAGGGGATATATTTTTTATTTGTAGAAGGATTTTTCGGTTTATTTAGGTTCTGTTTTGTTTTCCTAATTAAGTTGTCAACTAATTGAACATTGTAGCCATTGTTAAAAGCAATCTGTTTAATAATGCTCTTTTCTTTTTCAAATTCACGGGGACAAAGGTTGTATGTAAGAAGTCGGTAAACCATGGATCTGAAAGCTGCTAATTTATATTGATTAGGGTGATTGGAACTTTTCGGTATTACTAAGTCAGTTTGTGTGGGTTTCCTATAGATGCCAAACTCATATTCGCCATTGTTTGCTTTGGTTATTTTAATGTCTAAGAAATTTAGGCAATTGTTGGTTTCCAGTTCCATTTTAAATTTGATGGAGTTATGAATCTTGTTTAAATGTTTTATGAAAACGTTTGCTTGTCGTTTAGTTCCTCTGAACACTAAAAACGAATCGTCAACATATCTCTTATAGAACAGAATTTTTCGATAGTGAGGATTAGATGGCGTTAAAATGTTGTTTTTTTCAAACTGTTGCAAGTATATTTCAGCCAGGAGAGCAGACAATGGGCCACCCATAGGTAGTCCTTTCGGGTTACAATATGTTTTACAATTCCATTCAAAATAATTCTGCTTAGTTATTTCATCGACCATTGTTTTGATGTCTTGTATTTCACTTTCAGAGAATTTTTCAGACAATTGTAGCTTTGTAACTAACGCATCAATAGCTTCGTTGGGAGGTATGTTTACGTACATGTTATCAACATCAATTGATAGCAAGATACTGTTTGGGTCGTGTTTGTTTGATTTTAAGGAATCTATAAACTCTTTGGAATTTTGACTAGTGTTATCAGATGTCAAATCAAGTTTGGATTTAATCATATTTGATAGGAATTTACTCAAATTGTATGATGGAGCTGGGATGCAGTTGATGACAGGCCTGATAGGCATTCCGTCTTTATGGGTTTTAACAATAGGTTTAAACTGTGGTGGAGTAGCTTTTAAATTAATCAGATGTTTTCGTTTTTTCGGATGAATGATTTCATTGTTGTTTACAAGATGTTTTAGATTTCTATTGTATTCAATCGTTTTGTCCTCGATCTCATATACACCATTTTCAGTAAAGAATGCATTGATTTTGTCATCTAGATCTGTTTGATTTATAACAACTGTAGCATTTGATTTGTCGGCTTCTATTATTCTAGCAGAGCTATGGTTGAGTTTGTCCTTAATAACCTTAAGACATTTATTTTCGTTACTAGTCAAACGTTGCTTGCGAAGTCTTCTCTGTTTTGATTTTGATATGATTTTCTCTATTTTGTTAGCAGCCTCATATCTTACTCTATCTTTCTTATTGTTATCCAAAAATGATATTGCTACCTCAGTTTCAATGATTAAGTTTTTTATGTCATCACGAGCGTACGCTACAAAAACACATGTAAATAATAAAAATAGCATGCTAAAACGTTCTGTGTTTGTGTGTATATGTGGTCTGTATATAGTCGACAATCATCTCTCGATGTGAAAATTGTACATAGAAAAATGCTGCTGAAGATGAGCCGTATTTAGGCTTGAAACATGTACAGCATATCAAGTTTTAATAATTGACATCTAACGCTGCATTATACTGTACGCTGCATGCTAAAATGCATTATAGTGTACCTATATTCAATGGTACAGGTAGGACTTAAGGAAAATCAGATATATTCAGTGGTGGCAACACTGATATATCAAATCGTTGCAGAC